TTTTCCATCAACTTTTTGAAATACCCACATATATTGTGGAATATTATTCAGCCTTAAAAAATAAGGGAATCCTGCCATTTGAGACAACATAGATGAACCTGACAGAAACGAGACAGAAAGAGAAGTATCACATGATCTCACTCACATGGGGAATGAGACTTCACAGCAGTGGAGAGTAGGATGGAGCTGCCAGGGGCTGGGGAGGGGGAAATGGAGTGATGTTGCTCAAATGTTAAAAGTTTTAATCATGCAAGATGACTAAGTTCCAGAGATCTAATGTATAGCATAGTGATGATAGTTCAGTACTGTATTAAATATTCGTAATTTGCTAAAAAATCTTAAATCTTCTCAGCACACACACACAAAATGGTAACTGTGTAGAAGTAATGAATGTTAATTAGCTTGATTATGATGATAACTTCACAATGTATACATATATCAAAACATCAAAGTTGTACATCTTAAATGTATACATTGAAGTTTCCAAGAAAAAACAGGACTTTAAATTCTCTTTATTTAGTTCCATTTAAAGTGTCTTAAAGTAGTCATGATGGATGGTTACTTAGTAGTTAACACTTATTATTCATTATTATCCTAGGCATTATTTCTTTTATTCTTTAATTTAATGTCTAGATAGAAAATTATTTTCTCAACATACAAATGAAGGAAAACATCAAAAATTGAATTTAAAGTCAATTTATAAGGAACAACTTTAACAAAGATTAACATCCCTAATGCAAAAAGAATTCTTTAAAATGAATTAGAAAAATCTTAACAGAAACTTGGCGAAGGACATGAGCAGACAAGTCACACCCCCCACAAAGAAACACAAATGGCTAATAAATGCATTCTAAGATATTCTTGCGGGCAGGGGTGGGGTGGCCCACAGTCCTGGCCTCAGGACCCCGGGCATGCTCCCTGGCTTGCCTGGTTGCAGGCAGGGGCAGGGCATCTTTTACTCTTCATAGAAATCCAGTCAGATAAATCCTATTGTCTCCATTCTACAGATGAATAAACTAAGAGAGCTCAGGAAGTCACAGTAACACCAAATGTTAAACCCAGGATCCAAACCCAGCAGTTTCCCAAGGCCCTACTCTTGGCATAAACTTGCCAAGATATTACTTCCTATGGGATAGGCACACTTGGTCAATAACTTTCATAACTTTTCTTTCAGTGCAACTCAGTTAATTATTTAATAAACTAGAAATTTTGTTAGTCGTTGGTGATATGGAGATGATTAAGCCTAGATGACATGCTAGTAAGAAAGACAAAGTTTCAAAGACAATGCGGTGCTTTGATAAAAGGCTGTACAGGAACCAGTGAGCACACAAAGCAGGGAGCCGAACAAGCCTGAGAGAGAGGAGAGGTTCTGCCTGAGCCAGCAGTCGCTGGGGTATGGATGTCCTCTATTCCTTCCTTTCCTTGCTACCTGGCTCAGTGCTCTGCATGCAGTGGACACTGAGTAGACTGAGAGGCAGTCAGTGCAGACAGTACCTCAGAGTCTGATCTTCAGAACCACACTGATGGGGTTTGGGTCCTGGTGCCAACACCTGCTAGTTGTGACCTCGGCAAGTTACTTCATCTCTGACGACTCCACTTTCCTTCCTGGAAAGATATGTGACAATTCATAAGATTGTGGGGGTGGTGTGATACAATGTAAAGCCCAACATGCTTGATAAATTTTAGCCATCGTTATCATTCATGAAACTGGCTTTAACTTCAGTGGACCTAAAAAAGTTTCACAGGTGTTGAATCACACTGCTCTTACTGAACAACTAGATATGAACATCTGATATAAAATTCTAGGAAAGTAAGCTTTGTGTGGAAACTAAGGACCATATTTACTCATTTCTCTTTCATTCTTACCTCCATTCTTCTGGAGATGATAATTCATAAATCCTATTTTATAGCTTGTGACTAAAGGATTCAGGGACTAGATGCCCTGATGATCTTGGCCTATGCTTTGAGATCTTATCCACATCATCTGGGAATTTCATTCCAATCGGGTTGATCTTATACAGAACTCCTACACAACCCAATCATCAACTCCCAGCAATAAAGCTAGCCTTATTCATATGGTAGCTTTAATTTGGTTTATTTTCATTCTGTGTAACATCTACTTGTTTTATATGCACATTATAAAAGTACTTCTTTGTTGAGAGACCTTACTTACTAAATATAAAATAACATTTTAATATAAATTACTGACAAAGCATAATTTGTCCCCCAATTTTCTTGCAGATGGTTTAAAGTTAGTAGGAATGCAAGCCAATGGGAAAAATGTGTGGTTCGCCCTTTGAACAGTTAGTGAGCCTTCGTGGAACTCAACTACTAGTTATCTGAACAGTAAATGTTTAAGAGCCAAGACATTTTTGAAAGCATTTACTCTACAAGTCATCACAAAGTGTTATAAAGCTCAGCTCATGTTCCAGGAGAGCTGTTGTTGGCTTCTGGCCAAGCTTTCCAATTGGGTTTACTGTGTGATTCTGGGACACGATGTCACTGGCAGAGTTTCCTCCAGTCCAGCTGCCTACTGCTGCATCCTAGTTTCCATGAGAAAAAGGAGAAGAACATATAATTTCTAAAATATGCCTTAGGGCTGGCTGGTTAGCCCAGTTGGTTAGAACGCGGTGTTGTAACACCTCGGGGTCAAGGGTTTGGATCCCCGTACAGGCCAGTGATGAGAAAACTAAAACATGCCTTAGATTGCTATGCCAAACAACAAAAAACCTAGAGCCCTTTACAGTTAAGCCAGTGTCAGCTGAAAGCAGCCAGCCCTCTCTACCTCTCTGACCCCAAATTAGTCCTCTAGAGTCAAAGGTCCCTCTCTACCAGAAGGTTACTTAGCCCTAAACTGCCATGTCTTAATACTAAAAGAGAAAGAGGTCTTTTTCTAGATTCTTCTCTATTTCCAATTTTCCTCAACAGACGTCATCACCAATATATTTCTTCCTGGTGGTAAACCTAACATGGATCAATTAGAATCTAAAAGAAGAATATAAATTCATTTCACGGCATATTATATTTTATTACAGAAATAGAGGCAAATTACTGGCAAACAATAACTACTGTAGAGTGCTATTCTAATTAAATATTTTTCATTGGAAGAATTAAGTCCTTAATAAATGCTACATTTATCATTACAAAAGATATATATATATACACACACACAAAGAGCAAAGGCAGTGAGACTTCCTCTAGCTATAACTGATAGTTAAAGAAAATATATATATAAAAAAAAAACTTTTGTAGCAATATAAATTACCTTCTTAAAACAGCAAATATTCAATAACTATCTACTGAGCTATTACTCTGCAGCTACTACTGTGAAATAAATAAAACTATATCAGAGTCCTGAATTTACAATACTGTATTTNATCATCTGGGAATTTCATTCCAATCGGGTTGATCTTATACAGAACTCCTACACAACCCAATGATCAACTCCCAGCAATAAAGCTAGCCTTATTCATATGGTAGCTTTAACTTGGTTTATTTTCATTCTGTGTACATCTACTTCTTTTATATGCACATTATAAAAGTACTTCTTTGTTGAGAGACCTTACTTACTAAGTATAAAATAACATTTTTTTTTCCTTTTTGTCTTTTTTCGTGACCGGCAATGGATCGCAACCCTCAGTGTCACGCCCATACCAGACCGGGACCAGCAACGGGATCGCAACCCTCGGCGCTGCGCCCGCACCTCGCTCAGCCAGTGAGCGGCCGGTCTGTATGTGGGATCCGAACCCTCGGCGGGAGCGCCGCCGCGCCCCCAAGCGGCGCACTGTAGCAGTGCGCCACCGGGCCGGCCCTAAAATAACATTTTAATATAAATTATTGACAAAGCATAATTTGTCACCCAATTTTCTTGCAGATCGTTTAAAGTTAGTAGGAATGTAAGCCAATGGGGAAAATGTGTGGTTTGCCCTCTGAACAATTAGTGAGCCTTCGTGGAACTCAACTACTAGATATCTGAACAGTAAATGTTTAAGAGCCAAGACATTTTTGAAAGCATTTACTCTACAAGTCATCACAAAGTGTTATAAAGCTCAGCTCATGTTCCAGGAGAGCTGTTGCCGGCTTCTGGCCAAGCTTTCCAATTGGGTTTACTGTGTGATTCTGGGACACTATTCACTGGCAGAGTTTCCTCCAGTCCAGCTGCCTACTGCTGCATCCTAGTTTCCATGAGAAAAAGGAGAAGAGCATATGATTTCTAAAATATGCCTTAGGGCTGGCTGGTTAGCCCAGTTGGTTAGAACACGGTGCTGTAATACCTCGGGGTCAAGGGTTTGGATCCCCGTACAGGCCAGTGATGAGAAAACTAAAACATGCCTTAGACTGCTATGCCAAACAACAAAAAACCTAGAGCCCTTTACAGTTAAGCCAGTGTCAGCTGAAAGCAGCCAGCCCTCTCTACCTCTCTGACCCCAAATTAATCCTCTAGAGTCAAAGGTCCCTCTCTACCAGAAGGTCACTTGGCTCTAAACTGCCATGTCTTAATACTAAAAGAGAAAGAGGTCTTTTTCTAGATTCTTCTCTATTTCCAATTTTCCTCAACAGACGTCATCACCAATATATTTCTTCCTGGTGGTAAACCTAACATGGATCAATTAGAATCTAAAAGAAGAATATAAATTCATTTCACGGCATATTATATTTTATTACAGAAATAGAGGCAAATTACTGGCAAACAATAACTACTGTAGAGTGCTATTCTAATTAAATATTTTTCATTGGAAGAATTAAGTCCTTAATAAATGCTACATTTATCATTACAAAAGATATATATATATACACACACACAAAGAGCAAAGGCAGTGAGACTTCCTCTAGCTATAACTGATAGTTAAAGAAAATATATATATAAAAAAAAAACTTTTGTAGCAATATAAATTACCTTCTTAAAACAGCAAATATTCAATAACTATCTACTGAGCTATTACTCTGCAGCTACTACTGTGAAATAAATAAAACTATATCAGAGTCCTGAATTTACAATACTGTATTTTTTCACTGATTTCTTCATCCGCTTAATTTTCTTCCTTAAGACTTGATGATCTTGTTTTAAAATATACCGAAAATATCTACAACCTAAAATACAAAATAAACAAAATAAACAAAGAGTTTTAATATTTATCATATTTTTGTAGTATATTTCTACATTGTAAAAATTTTGCTTCAATTCTGGCATACTAATAATTATGAAAACAGATTTATTTATCCATATATCTATATGAGTACATCCTAATCATATTCTAAGAGTTGTCACCAATTAAATGTATTGCTTCCCGCATACAAAGATGTTTCTGATCCATCATAATTAAAGCATATACGTTAGCTTGTTTTCTACTCATCCCCCCAAATCCTAGTTATGCATATTACCATAACTAGGTAATATATTCATATATTAAATAAGCCTTCTCCAAAAGCAAATTACTATAGCTTCTCTCTCAATGTTAGCTTGTAGATCAGCCAAAGTGGCACCTACAACAATAGGAAAGTTCTCTGTAGAAAATCTTGGTGTGAAGGATTAGAATAAACAAGTCACAGGATGGAAGAGATCAAACATCATCTGCTCGTTCTAGCCATCTAGCAAGCAGCTAGATGGAGATCACGTTGCTCTGACAAAGGTGCGTAGTGCTCATCATAAGCTCTACCCACTCTTCATAGTCTTACAATGCAAAGAGGTCCATCTGTCAAGTATTTCGGAGAAATCAAATTTTTGTAGGAAAAATGTAAAGTGGATATTATAAGGGATTTTTTTAATATCTGATAAATGAATAAGACCATAAATCATATGTGAAAAATTAATTTCATTATAGTCTCAGCTTGTATATATCCACCTTCTCTGAAAATTTCCTGGGATATATATTGTACCAATAGTAATTATTTTATTATCCCTGAAAACAGTATGTCAGAACTGCCAATATTTTATTAGCTGGGAAGCAGCTGTGTCTTGTGGTGTTACTACAATAATTTGCATTTCTAAATGTATCATACCACTTTAGGAAAGACAATATACTCTGTACAGAGATTTCTCTTCTAGAGATTTCTAGAAGTGGGCGGGGAGGTAGAGATTTCTGCTTCTACCTATATAGAAAACTGGAAAGAACTTCATTCCCACCCTAACAAAGAGAAAAAGCCAAATAAACTACAAAATCTTAACTCTTCTTAAGCCCACCAGAGAGCTGGCGTCACAGGGTAACCAAGTAGCCGGAATGCCAAGGAGGCCCATCCAAGGAGAAACAGGCCTGGCTTGCTTTCAGCAGAGCTTGAGAAGAAAGGCAGACACCACTCCCCAGTCTAAGCACAAAGCAAAGGCAGGCCAGCACTAGCATTTGAGTCCTGTGATACAATGATGACGAAAACTCAGCTAAACCCCTGAACAGACTGACTCTCCCACACCAACACCCTGACAGAGGAAGACATTTGCCCATTTTCAGGCATAATGATGCCTGATACTCGCAGAATACAAACCTATAAGCAAATAAGGACAGGTATAACAATGCCCATTTCACAGAGAAGGCTCCCAGAGGTAAATTGCTTTACCTACATTACATGGCAAGCTAGAGAACTAGTAAATTAACCCAGGTCTTCAGACTCTGCTAAAACAG